CAAAAAAGAAAATGGTTTTGCTATAATTTTAACAAAATGGTTGTTCTGTATGAATCCCAAATATATCTTGTGCCAGTACACGGGGATGGGTTTCAGAACACTGAATGCATGGTCAGGCTTGTCCAGGAATTTGGATTTGCTGGCTGACCAGGACCAGGAGTGTGACCAGCCCTAGAATGTGAGATCTTCCTACATATAAAGGAGAAGGGCAGGAGAGCCCAGCCTCGATATCCCAAAGAACCACACATCTTTTAGCCCTCCAAGACCCAGGCAGAAGGTCACACCTCAGCCCCTATAGAGCAGCATGCTCTAAAAAAAATTTTTTTTGCATCATTCACACTTACCAGTAGTAAATATCCAAGTGCATAAATTTATTTTTAATAATGTAAATACTCTGTGATATACTATGTGCATATTATAAAGCACACCCAATTAGTATTTTTAATGAATAAGAGAAAACATAAACAGTTTGGAAGTTAAATATTTTCTTCTCACACCTCAAGGGATTGTTACGAGCATATCCCCCCTCCACCCTTAAGAGTATAGATACCTTACCGTGGAGACCTTTGCTCCAGAACACAGCATTTTAAGAGAGGACAGTGTTGACAGAAGCGAGCTACTGACTGCGTCTCTGAGTAAGGGGCTAAGGACCTTGAATGAAGCCCAAGTGGGCATTAAATGAGCACAGCGGGGGGCAGCAAAATGTAGCACCTAACGCCCGTTTGCTGTGACCTTTCCATTACAGTTCACTTCATGACACTGGGGCCAATTCCCTGTTAAGCCCGCACACCCAGGGCCCACCACCACCACCACCACAAGGACCAGCTTCGAGGGGAGTGGGACTGAGAAGGGCCATACATTCCCCATAGCCTTAGGAAGTCTAGTTCCTCTTCCCTAAGCACAGCCTCAGTTTCCAAACCACCAAGGTTATGGAACAGGTGACATTGGACCTCCACATAAGGTCAATTGAGTGCATCCTCCAGATCAAGCCCTGCCTGGGTGACTTGTAGGAAAGAAAAAGATGTAGCAGGCTTACCCTCAAGGAGCTGCCCCTCTAGAATGGAGTCCAGAGGGCCACTCCACTCGTAGTTAATAGCGCCAAGCGGGCATCATGCCTACTGCTCCACTAGGGATGGGAAGCGAGGCTGCTGTTCCCTGACTCAGCGGTTTGCAAACCGTGTCCTTCAGCACCCTGGGCGGCCTGAGAGGTGCTTCTCAAGCTGTCTGGAGGAGAGGGTGGGTGAAGGGGAAGCCAGGCTGACGGAGCCCCAGGCTATCGCCAGCCTCAACTGGAACAGAAGAATGAACTGAAAACAGAAGAGCAGGCTCATTACCCAGAGAGCATGAAAAGCCAGGATGGTGGTGTTGCTTTCCAAGGACTGCCGGGTCATCCAGACTGTGGGTTCCGCAGCTCTCCTGCTGGGCTGGAATTCAGCTCGGCCTCCCACTAGCTATGAGACCTAAGCATTTACTTGTTGCTGTTGTTGATGTCTCCAAGTGTGTTCACGGTGGGAAGATGGGGCTTATGCACTCTCTCCTCTAATGCCCTCGCACCCACTTTCCCTCAGATGTCCCCAAAGAGCAGCGGCTGCAGGCTGTTCAGGCCGCCATCCTGCTGCTGGCAGATGAAAACAGGGAGGTCCTGCAGACGCTCTTGTGCTTCCTGAACGACGTTGTCAACCTGGTGGAAGAGAATCAGATGACACCCATGAACCTGGCTGTGTGTCTGGCCCCCTCCCTTTTTCATCTCAATTTATTGAAGAAAGAAAGTTCTCCAAGGTGGGCTATTCTCAGCAACAGCAGCAGTCCCAAAACAGGCACTCCACCCAGTTTATTTAAAACAGTAAATAAAGAAAACTGGTCCCAGGCTGTATCTCAACTTGAGGATTTGTCAGTATTCGTTTTATGATCAGAACGTGTTCCGAGGCAACCTAACTCCTGGGGCCCGATTCACAGAATTATCAAAATGGCATTGAAGAATGTCCATTGTGATTCAGAAAGCCCGAGGAGTTTTGTTTTGTTTTGTTCGTGTGCGTGGGAAGGAGGAGAAAGCTACACAATGTAGTGTTTTACAATCTTTTTAAAAAAAAGACTACATTCAAGACCAAAGCCCAGCAGCTTGCAGTTAAGTGGTTTCAAACTT